CTTAGGTTCATTGTCCTGCTGGAAGGTGAACCGCCGTCCCAGTCTCAAATCTCTGGAAGACTGAAACAGGTTTCCCTCAAGAATTTCCCTGTATTTAGCACCATCCATCATTCCTTCAATTCTGACCAGTTTCCCAGTCCCTGCCGATGAAAAACATCCCCACAGCATGATGCTGCCACCACCATGCTTCACTGTGGGATGGTGTTCTCGGGGTGATGAGAGGTGTTGGGTTTGCGCCAGACATAGTGTTTTCCTTGATGGCCAAAAAGCTCAATTTTAGTCTCATCTGACCAGAGTACCTTCTTCCATATGTTTGGGGAGTCTCCCACATGCCTTTTAACGAACACCAAACGTGTTTGCTTATTTATTTCTTTAAGCAATGGCTTTTTTCTGGCCACTCTTCCATAAAGCCCAGCTCTGTGGAATGTACGGCTTAAAGTGGTCCTATGGACAGATACTCCAATCTCCACTGTGGAGCTTTGCAGCTCCTTCAGGGTTATCTTTGGTACCTTTGTTGCCTCTCTGATTAATGCCCTCCTTGCCTGGTCCAAGAGTTTTGGTGGGCGGCCCTCTCTTGGCAGGTTTGTTGTGGTGCCATATTCTTTCCATTTTTGAATAATGTATTTAATGGTGCTCCGTGGGATGTTCAAAGTTTCAGATATTTTTTTATAACCCAACCCTGATCTGTACTTCTCCACAACTTTGTCCCTGACCTGTTTGGAGAGCTCCTTGGTCTTCATGGTGCCGCTTGCTTGGTGGCGCCCATTGCTTAGTGGTGTTGCAGACTCTGGGGCCTTTCAGAACAGGTGTATATATACACTGAGATCATGTGACAGATCATGTGACACTTAGATTGCACACAGGCGGACTTTATTTAACTAATTATGTGACTTCTGAAGGTCAGTGGTTGCACCAGATCTTATTTAGGGGCTTCATAGCAAAGGGGGTGAATATATATGCACACACCACTTTTCTGTTATTTATTATATCATTTTCATTCAACTTCACCAATTTGGACTATTTTGTGTATGTCCATTACATGAAATCCAAATAAAAATCTATTTAAATTACAGGTTGTAATGCAACAAAATAGGAAAAACACAGAGGGGGATGAATATTTTTGCAAGGCACTGTAACACTGCTTCCAAGATATCTCACTCTTGACAAATATTGAAATATCCTGCTAAATATCCTACTATCCTCTCTTCAGGAGAAAGCTCAGAAGACAGCGGGGAAAGTAGAGAGGGTAAGACAGTGGGTCTTGACAAAATGGAAGAGATCAGACCATTCTGTCAAGAATATGGTCCGGAGTCAAGTGTTGCCGCTCAACCAGACTCCGGCACTCAGTAGCTTTGTTTAAGATGTTTTGTTTTGATGCAGTTTTTATGGCCAGTGGCCTCTGACATATAAATAGAATCCTTTCCCACAAGTCAACAATGAAAGCTTAGATGTCTGAAAAATCTCCAAAATAGATCTTACCACATTGCACTCCCAAACAAACCACTTTGTAGTGCTTAAATTGTCTCAGACTTCTCAAAACAAACACCCTAAAGTAGAGTTGACAAAATTGCATATAATCTCAAATATGCTGTAAGATATTTTTTTAAGTAAGTCTGATATACATCCTCAGGATGTATAATGTTACAATGCGAGAGCCATGGCATAGCCTACATATAGAAATATATACGGTTTGACGCTGACAATAGACACAGGATCTAGGCCTAAACCATGCAGACTAGACAAGTCAAGATTCAACAGCTAGCTATGCCACTGTGCTGACCGTGGTCAGTACCATCACCTCCCAGTTTCTGGGGTATGACTTGGCTGCCAAAGTGTCCAGTTCTGGCACATTCTGCTCTTCTGGGGTTTCAAACCTACTCTTCAGTGGCTTTCTAATTACAGCCCTGTCTTGCCGTTTTGTTCTCAAAGTGCTATTCCAAAGCAGGAAAAGGCAAACACTTTTTGATGTGTTTTTCAACAAATCATGCATCCAATCCACTTTGTTCACTGTAGCCAAATGTTCCATACTGACTTTTGTATCAGTACTTCACACCATGGCAATACTACACCACACATTACTTGAGGACAGTGTTGGTGAGTAGTGAACTACATGTAACGTTACTACATTTAGCAGTAGCTTGGAGGTAGTTTAACTAAATTCAAATCTAGGTAATGTTTTCAGTAGTTAATTACTTTTTGGCATAATATGCAACAAACAACATGGCTTCAGGAAATTGTTGATGTATTATGGGCTAACCTCTCAAAGGCAGGGATAAAAGTATCCCGTCAGCATTTCAGGATTTAGGCCAGATGCCACACATTTAAACAACCATTATATCCCACTATGGCCTGCATTTTACCCTATGACCTACCCTGTACTGCCTCACAAACTCCACACTAAGAAAGAGGAAGAAAGGGTTCAAGGTGATGCACATGCACATGCATCAACAACTGGAGGACCACTAACCATATAATTCACTACAGACAACTTGGGAAATTAAAGGGTTCAACATAGTATGGGTAAATGAAACTAAAGTAACTGGCTACAGTAGTCTAATATAGTCTCAACATGCTGTGCATTGTACATGTACACCAGTGTTTATGTGAACATCTCCTCAGAACACTGGTGCTGTCAAGATGACCCTGGGAAAAGCAGTCAGTTCCCACAAACTCCCTCCATAATCACAGAGCCTACTCTGTTGTTTAAATCACAGTGTGGTGTTTCAGAGTGGAACACCAAAGCAGAGGACTCAAGGATAAAGGAACCAATTGACATGCAAGTGGTCTAAGTGAGGGAGAAATGGACGTGACTTAACAATGATACATTACATGACCAAAAGTATGTGGGCATCTCATTCCAAAATCATGGGCATTAATATGGAGTTGGTCCCCCCTTTGCTGCTATAACAGCCTCCACTCTTCTGGGAAGGCTTTCCACTACATGTTGGAACATTGCTGCGGGGACTTGCTTCCATTCAGCCACAAGACCATTAGTGAGGTTGGGCACTGATGTTGGGCGATTAGGTCTGGCTCGCAGTCGGCATTCCAATTCATGCCAAAGGTGTTCGATGGAGTTGAGGTCAGGGCTCTGTGCAGGCCAGTCAAGATCTTCCACACCGATCTCGACAAACCATTTTTATATGGACCTCTCTTTGTGCAGAAGGGCATTGTCATGCTGAAACAGGAAAGGGCCTTTCCCAAACTGTTGCCACAAAGTTGGAAGCACAGAATCGTCTAGAATGTAATTGTATGCTGTAGCGTTAAAATTTCCCCTCACTGGAACTAAGGGGCCTAGCCCGAACCATGAAAAACAGCCCCAGACCATTATTCCTCCTCCACCAAACTTTACAGTTGGCACTATGCATTGGGGCAGGTAGTGTTCTCCTGGCATCCGCCAAACCCAGATTCGCCCGTCGGACTGCCAGACGGTGAAGCGTGATTTATCACTCCAGAAAACATGTTTCCACTGCTCCATAGTCCAATGGTGGCAAGCTTTACACCACTCCAGCCACACTTGGCCTTGTGCATGGTGATCTTAGGCTTGTGTGCGGCTGCTCGGCCATGGAAACCCATTTCATGAAGCTCCCGACTAACAGTTATTGTGCTGATGTTGCTTCCAGAGGAAGTTTGGAACTCGGTAGTGAGCATTGCAACCGAGGACAGACTATTTTTACGCGCTACGCGCTTCAGCACTCTGCGGTCCTGTTCTATGAGCTTTTGTGGCCTACCACTTCACGGCTGAGCCGTTGTTGCGCCTAGATGTTTCCACTTCACAATAACAGCACTTACAGTTGACCAGGGAAGCTTTAGCAGGGCAGAAATTTGACGAACTGACTTGTTGGAAAGGTGGCATCCTATGACGGTGCCATGTTGAAAGTCACTGAGTTCTTCAGTACGGGCCATTCTACTGCCAATGTTTGTCTATGGAGATGGCTGTGTGCTCAATTTTATGCACCTGTCAGCAACGGGCGTGGCTGAAATAGCCGAATACACTCATTTGAAGGGGTGTGCATATACTTTTGGCCATGTAGTGTATATAGTGCAATGACGAGCAGAGGCAAAATGTTACATTTTCAAGCTTATCTTATTATCATTTAATACTTTGCTTTATGACTTCTATTTTGCACAGGATGGACATCTGAGAGATGGTAGTTTAATCAGGTCAGGGAAACCCCCCACCGCTATATGTTTGCAACAGGACTCAATAGGAAAAAACAAACATGACTGGTGCATGACAGAGTTGTTCCTCAATACCAATACAAATAGGGCACAGATATCAGTAATCCGCTTTCTAAAACATCTAAGATCTATTTAGGGGCATCACTGAGAATACATCAACATATAAAATGAAACATTAGACAAATGATTCAGATGCATTAAGAATAAAAAAGTGGACTCAACTCTTCAATTGAGAATACTCTGATAGCAGACAATGGACAAAGTGGCTAAGTTCACCTTGACTGAAATCTAATGACCTAATGAACTCTGGAAAAACAAAAACAAACTCTGACAAACTTATTGAGATGGAGAAAAAAAGAAAAAGAGATCCTGAATCTAAACCAATTACAGTTGACTGTAGTTGTTACCTGCATCTTAAAGCCGCAATGTGTAACTTTTTGGGCGACCTGACCAAATTCACATAGAAATGTGTAAGTCTAAGAAGCGGTAGAGCTGTTCTATGTGTGCTATTTCTATGCTTCCCGTTCTTACATTTTGTTTTTTCATCTTTCACTTTCGGTTTTGTACATCAGCTTCAAACAGCTGAAAATACAATATTTTTGGTTATTGAAAATATATTTAGATAGTACAATGATTCTCTACACCATACATTGCTTGTTTTGTCACATAAACTGAAATAAGGCGAACTATTAGAATTATAGCAACCAGGAAATAGCAGAGCGATTTCTGCATATTGCACCTTTAAGTAATTCTACTTATCCATTTACCCAGCTGTTGCAGGGGAGCCAGGTATTCCAGGATCCCCTGGTGAGCCAGGACCTATGGGGCCCCCTGGGCCTCCCGGCAAGAGTGGCATTGGACATCCCGGACCAAAGGGCCCAGTCGGGCCCCCCGGACCTGCTGGCTACTCCGCAGCTGGCAAGCCTGGCAACCCAGGTGCTCCTGGGAAACCAGGTAGTAATGGCATGCCCGGTGAGAAGGGCCATACTGGCGCAACTGGCGCCATGGGTCCAAGAGGATCTCCCGGTTCCGCTGGAAGCCCAGGACCTGCTGGATACTCTTCTGCAGGCAAACCTGGCCCACACGGTCTGCCCGGCAGCATGGGGCCAAGGGGTGAGTCCGGACTTAAAGGACATCCAGGTATCCCTGGTCTGCCAGGTCAAAAGGGAGAGAAGGGAGTTGGTATTCATGGGGCACCAGGTGCAGTGGGTGCAGTGGGACCAATGGGACCATCTGGTATGCCCGGTCAACCCGGAGTTGGTAAGTCTGGTGCCCCTGGATACCCCGGGGAGCCTGGGAAGTCAGGTACTCCAGGTAGGGATGGAGCTCCAGGAGCCATGGGTCTGCCAGGGCCAAAGGGCCACAATGGAAACCCTGGGGTAGGAGCACCAGGAAAGCCAGGTGAAAATGGCAGTCCAGGTATGCCTGGAAATATGGGACCTAAAGGTCCCCAGGGACATGCTGGACAACCAGGTGCATCTGGCTTGCCAGGAGTTGGTAAACCAGGAGCTAATGGCATGCCAGGAGACAGAGGATCACCAGGTACATCAGGAACCACGGGTCAGAAAGGAGAGCCAGGGCCAACAGGTTACACTGGGGCAACAGGTGCTACAGGGCTTACGGGTCCAGCTGGTCCCCAGGGTGCTAGAGGATTCCAGGGAGAGACAGGTATTCAGGGACTTAAAGGTGATGTCAGCATGGTGGGAGCTCCTGGGGCAAAGGGAACCAAGGGAGATCAGGGACATCAGGGTCATGCAGGGAAGTCAGGTATCCCCGGGGCAGCAGGCCCTCCTGGTGCAACAGGTGCTACAGGACATCAGGGTAATAAGGGAACTCAGGGCCATACTGGCGCTCCAGGTACTCCAGGTGCAAATGGTCTTCCAGGAGCAAAGGGACACCCAGGCACACCTGGAGGGCCTGGGAAACCAGGCGAGAACGGCATCTCAGGGCCAAGAGGACCAGTGGGGCCTTCAGGTCCAGCAGGTCAACCAGGTCTTAAGGGTCACCCAGGTCTTCCTGGTACACCCGGCCCAGCTGGCCAGATGGCCAAGGGAGTTTCTGGTCCCATGGGTCCACCTGGAGCTCCTGGTTCCAGAGGTCACGATGGTAACCCAGGTGCTATGGGACCTCCTGGACCACCTGGTCCCCCTGGTGAGATGGTCTACCATCATGAGAAGAGCATGCCCATAAAGTCCCATGAGATTATGATGCCTCATCATGAGATGATGAAGGCCCCTATGTCTGCCTTCAGCGCCGTTCTGACTAGGGCTTATCCTTCAGCTGGATCACCTATTCAGTTCAACCAGATTATTTACAATGGTGAGCAGCACTATGACCCCCAGACTGGCATCTTCTCCTGCCAGGTACCAGGTCTCTATTACTTCTCCTACCATATGCATGTTAATGGTGCTAATGCATTGGTGGCACTGTACAAAAATGGTGAGCCAATCATGTTCTCATACGATGAGTACAACAACGGCTTCTTGGATCAGTTGTCTGGCAGCACTGTTCTTATGCTGAATGCCCATGACCAAGTCTACATTCAGGTCCCTGATGAGGAGACCAATGGTGTCTTCGCTGCCGACAATGTTCACTGCTCTTTCTCTGGGTTCCTGATTGCTTCAACGTGATACAGACACTAATCCTTGAAACCTTAAAGAAACTACTTAAAGAAATAGATCAGTTTACAACTTCCATTGAGATTTGGTTGTCATTGTAGAATAAAAAATTTATGTAATATTCTACAAGTTAATTTGTCTTTGAAAAGGCTGAAAAAGAAAGAGCAGCAATTTTCTGAAGTATTCCATTGAGAAGGGTATTCAGTTCATGGAGTCATTCAAATAAATTGAGAGGAAGAATATAATTTAGGAATTAAATGTTTTTTATCACTATTCCCTTTCCCAGTATTTGCACAAGTATTCAGCAAACAATGATCAAGGAATACAAAACAGTTTGAAAATACACAAAATGGTGCTCTTTGACTGCCTGTAACATTTCCAGCAGTTTTTTTTTTGATAGTGTTTAATAAATGTCTTGTAATATACATGCAAAGGAAATCATTGTTTTTTGTTTTTTTTTGCAATGCTGTAACAAACCTTTAACAAACCAGCAGTGTGATATTGCACCACACAGTATGAAAAACAGTCATTCAAAAATGTATTCTGTCAACAACAACTGTATGCCTGAGGATGCAATATGCTATGTTTAACTTCCTGACCAAAGTAAAGAAGTTCCGAAACTGATGCTTTTGTCTTGTTTTTCTGCGACAGTCTACGGTAGGAAATTGAAAATATTGTTTGATTTTGAGCCCACCGATATGGCCAATTAAATGAGTGGTTCTGATATGGTGCACTGATTCAACAACGGAAAGTGATTGATTATAAAATAAGTGATCAACCTACCTTTAAATGCTGATGTGTTGTAGTTGTGGTCGATGGCAGCAACCATGTCTTTCCAAAAGTCTGAATTCACCTCATTCCCACGCTGTTGACAAAAACAAAATAATGTCCTTGAAATTAAATCGTTATATGTTGTTGTTTTTTATATGTTTTATTATTAACAAATGTGTAAACATTAATTATCTATTAATAATCATAATGAACATTTATTTTAATAGATTTTACCTTGTGCAACATATCCACAACCCTTCCACAGAGAAGAGCCCCAGGTAGATCGAAATAGTTGTCATAAAAATAGTACTTTGCTGCGGAGAATAAAACAGAAGATATTTATTGTGAGAAACAATCCAATCATTCATCACTCTGTACATTGGAAATAAAGTGAGAAGAAAAAAAGTACATGTTTTCAGAAGATTGCATTATCATGAAAATTCAACTGCATCACAAAAAACAAACAAATGCTGTCACAACGATTGGAGGGGAAACAGATTCCAAGATGAAAGACTTACTAGATCTCGTAAATGTGGTATTGAGGCTATTGAAGTGCTTCCATTCCCTTTTTGGACCGTAATGTTTAATGATCTCTTCTGTTCTGAGGTTATTGGTCCCATGGGTTGCTCTGATCAAAACAAACAGGTTTAAAGTCAGGCTTTTTATTCATTTTGGGTGCAAAGAGAAGACATGCGTGCCCAAATACTGTACATTCATACCAACACTTCAAAACAGGCATTTTTCCTATCAATATAAATGGAAAGCAATATCAAAGCATGCATTTAACTGTATCATTAACTGTAATCGTACCGTAAGACAGTTCCATCTTCGGCCAACTTAACCAAGTTTCCATCCTCAAGGTCTACCACTAAGCCTTTGAAACTGGACATACAGAATACACATTTCATAGTGGTCATTGGCAAAAAATAAGCATGTTGATCAATGTCCTATGCTAAGCAATAACGATAAGAATATGTGAGCATTATTCAGCATCTTCCTTTTTGCTTAAAAAGTGCCCTTTATCCAACCTGAAAATGGGGTAGTGGAATGATGCATGCAGGTGGTCTGAATTTACAAGGGCACACCACGGTCATTACTGATTACAGAATAGAGAGGAAGGGATGATTTTATTCAGTCATTCTGCTGCTGCTGCTAGTGACTCACCAGAAATCCCAGGTAGCAGGGGTCAGTGTGAGAAGGTCCTTGTCATAGTCTTTATGCTCCACCAGATACCTGGTAAAGCTCTCATAGATCAGCTGCAAAGAAGCACAATAATATAGGGTCACTGTTATAATCTATCCACAGGTGGGGTGAACATTCAGTGACACTGAACATGTATTACTGTAAAATGCATACACACTGTACTGTATTGACAGCTACCATGATGGAGCTGCCTCGCATGCATTGAAAACCTATTTGTAAAGTCATGGCTTCAATGTCATTTGTGTTCCTGACAGAGAGGATGCCATTGGTTTTCTGCAGCTGGCAGTCAGATGTCACACAGACACCTTAAGGGCCTGCTGGCTAATCTGTTGTTGCAAGCATATTGCTTATACATTTCATTTATGCATGCAGTATAACGACATACAGTATACAGTGTTATGTTAGCGATATCATGTTGCAAAAGCGAAAGAATCCCCTGCATTACAACAATGTCGTTTTAGGTTTTGGCGCTTGCATCACGACTGCAACGTTTAGCATATGAACACCATGTAGGAAGTATTTTATATTCCATTCGTTTCGTAATACATTGTGAGTAGTAGCTATTGATGAAATGCAGCGATCCATGAATGACCGACTTGACACTGCGAGTTGGAAAGGATGGTGATGTTGCGGGCAATCGTTAGGCTACTTGGTAGCTATAGCCGGCTACATTGTTACTGTATTGCATTGTCAGAAATGCCAAGAACAGCTCGCAACGTTCGCTGTAGCTCGTGAGCTACAAATAAACTCACCCTGGAGGTCTCTTTCAAATGGTACCGACAGAGAGTGTGGTCCAAATCAAAACCAATGACATCACAATCTGAAAGGGAAAAATATTCGCTCATTTTAACGAGAGCGCTGGAAAACAAGGATGTTGCACTGTACAGACAAACGTGCACTCCTGCACACTACTGTCAATCAATGGGCTCGTTTGAGTGGTTAGGCAACCGACTGCAGACGAAAGTCGAGGAGAACGTTGGGGAGCTGCATCTGCGACAGTCAGACACCGATGTGGTTTTCCAACAGCAAGGCTCAATGCAACATGTCAGTGTTGCCATTGTTTATAAAGTTTTTATTTGTAATGTCGAAATAAACATGTCTCCAACCCCCATATCACACATTCACAAACTGTTAATATACAGTACACTACCGGTCAAAAGTTTTAGAACACCTGCTCATTCAAGGGTTTTTCTTTATTTTTCCTATTTTCCTTGCTGTAGAATAATAGTGAAGACATCACAACTATGAAATAACACATATAGAATCTTGTAGTAACCAAAAAAGTGTTAAACAAATAAAAATATATATTATACTTGAGATTTTTCAAATAGCCACCCTTTGCCTTGATGACAGCTTTGCACATTCAGCTTGAACACGCCCAAAATCAATGACGAGTCTGCAGCCTCCAATGGAAATGGCCGTGTTCGAAAGGCTCAGAATTGCAATGTATCATGGGTAAATTGTGACTGACTGATTTAAAAAATAAAATAATGAGTCGTTACTTATGATGCAAGGTAATATGAATATCAGTCAGTCGGCAGTCGCCTGCAGTCGTGTTGATGCTCTGGAACACGGCCATTGCATTTATCTCTATCGAAACGTGGGCTGTTACAAAAGGCAAGGGGACGCATTAGAGGATTTCTCCAACAACCAGACACTATCGTACAATTTTAGTTAATCAAGTCTAAGAATTGTCTATCTATAGTATGATATTATTTATCAACCGCAACAGTGATATATCTGGTGGAGGTGCGCACGATACAGAATGTGCAGAAGAGGTTTGTGCCCAAGGCTTCCGGGTGTACCGTAGTACATCCAATAAATGTGCATCAATTATCCGAAGAGGGGAGAATTTGTAATGGGGGCCACACATGCACGACACCGGGGCATACTGACAACATGCATACGGAAGGCTACCAAAAGATGCAAGTTGCCTAAAAGTGTGATTTATAATGTTAAATAATTAATCTCACTTTTAATAAGGGTTATTCATCCTATTCAATTTAATCATTTGGAAGTCTAGCTTAATGCCTACAGGTAAAGCAGTTGTTAAAAATGTGTAGCCTTAATTAGTTAGGCTAGATAATTAAAGCCCCCTAGCAGTCTTTTTATTTTTAAATTATGTCTAATAAATCACTGTGTGTGTTTTATTTAATGAAAATAACTCCAAAATATATTGTCATAATTTATTTCCATGGGCCTCTTTTGGCCATTGAAATCATGAGTCTGGTAGTGTGGGCATTAGGAAAGAAATGTGAAGATATATACATACACAGCCCTGATTGGCTGATAGGGTGGTCTAGAGCCCAACCCTTACCCAGATGAATGGTCATTGGTATATTATAATCAGATCAGACTGTGACATCATGATCTGATCCAAAAAAACCCATCCCACCTGAACAAGCTGAAATTCCAGGCATTTTTTTTTTTTCAAACAGCTCTCTCACACAAAAAGGGCAATATCATAATTTTCACAATTTCAGAGTGTTATTTCGACCTCATAGTGTGGAAATATCATTTAAAAAACAGGAAAGTCATATTAACTGCCCTGCCCCTTCAACTAATAGCCTAACATTTTGTCCACCACATAATGGACAGGCCCAACAGGTAGGCCTACAATATAGAGTAATTGTAGACCTCAATTCAGGCGTTTCTTGATGTGGTCATTCCTTGATATCAGGAAAACGCCCATTTGTGCCTACTATTGGTCAGTGCCGGTGTTATGAGACTGATGGTTTCATGACACAGATGATTTGTTTATTTTACATTTGAGTCATTTAGCAGACACTCTTATCCAGAGCGACTTACAGTTAGTGAGTGCATACATTTTCATACTGGCCACCCGTGGGAATCGAACCCACAACGCTGGCGTTGCAAACGCCATGCTCTACCAACTGAGCTACACGGGACTGTAGCAGGTTTGGATAAGTAACGTGGCAGGTTAGGATAATTAACATGGCAGGTTAGGTGAAGTAGCGTGGCAGGTTAGGAGAATGAGGTTAAGGTTAGGAAAGGGGTTAGGGTTAGGTTTAGCTACAATGCTATGGTTGTCAATAACTTGTCCCTGAAGTGGAAAAAACGGCCACGGACCAATGGCGAGCATCAATGGGTGATATCAAGAAACGCCGTTATCAGAACATGCAACTAATTGTGGTCTGCAATTACACCCATCTCAACAGGTAGGCTATTATTGCCTGTAGGTCAGGACTGCCCAACCCTGTTCCTGGAGAGCTACTGTCCTGTAGGTTTTTGCTCCAACCCTAATCTAGCACACCTGATTCTAATAATTTGCAGGTTGATAAAATGAATCAGGTTAGTAACACCTGGGGTTGGAGTGAAAACCTACAGGAGGGTAGCTCTCCAGGAACAGGGTTGGGCAACCCTGCTGTAGGTGGTGAAATAGAAGTTAACGCCCTGGACGGGTATCGCTCAAAGTGCACACAGGCAGAGAGGAAGAGGTGAAGCGAGAGGTTTTACTCAGCCCAAAACCTGTCCACGAAAAGAAGCCCAGGAAGTGAGGAATTTTTGTATGGAGGTCAATGAGTGTCGAATTTGGTCAACAACATTTTATTGCTAATTTGCTACGTAAGGCTTATTTTATCAAATATAAGTTTCGTAATGGTTAGGTTGTTATGAATGCAATGATATAAGTGGACGCACATGGCATTTCGGCAATTTTGAAATCTTTATATCAGAGTTGTGCCTGTTGTCATAGAGATGGAGGAATAATCATGGTTATAACCCTTTTTAGCATGGACATTGCCATTGAAGGCTTCTACCCTTTTAAAGTAGTTGGGATTCCTATGAGTTGGGAGCAATTAGCCAATGAAGACAAAGAATATTGACTACTTTAAAATAGAGATAGCCTCAATGGCGATGCCCATGCTGTCGCAAATGCTATAATGGCACAGATAACATGATGAGTCCTCTATCTATTTGCCCTCTCATTGGGTAGAATCGTTTACATTTCAGGCATTTAGCAGACACTCTTATCCAGTGCGACTTACAGTAGTGAGTGCATACATTTTCGGAGTTTCTTGATGTCAAGTTACACCCATTGATGCTCGCCATTGGTCCATGGCCGTGGCGTTTCTTTCGAGTCGGGGACAACAGTTGTTGACAACTGTACACAGGCGGTTGGTGGCACCTTAATTGGTGAGAATGGGCTCGTGGTGATGGCTGGAGCAGCATAAGTAGAATGGTATCAAATACATCAAACAATTGGTTTCCATGTGTTTGATGCAATTCCATTTGCGTTATTCCAGCCATTATTATGAGCCGTCCTCCCCTCAGCAGCCTCCACTGCAACTGTAGCATAGTAGGGTGATTTGAAAAGTCTTAGTCTTAATTTATAATCTGTAGAAACTATGAGAATAGAAAGGTTCAGAACTTTTGTGAAACATCACAGCACAGTGGGAAAATATATAGCAGAAATTAAAACTGGATGGTCTTCAGAGATAGATGGGAGGGGTTGAGGGTAGCTGAAGGCTGGGACTAAAAACAAACAAAGATAACTAATGTAAAATATACTGTCTGTGAAATGTATGTAGTATGTATAAGCTGGAAGTGGAAGTGGAAGTGTTGTTGTCCATAAGTTTACTCCAGTTAGGGGAGGGATGGTAGGGTTATGGGAAAATTATATATATATATTTTTTTTTTTATATTTTGGGGATTGGAAATTATGCAGACAATTACATTGATAGAGCTACAATCTATCTGCAATATTAAATAAATAAATAGTCATTTATTTTTTAAACTGTAGCATTGTAGCTAAGGCTAACCCTAACCGTTTTCCTAACCTTAACCTCAGTCTCCTAACCTGCCATGTTAGTTATCCTAACCTGCTATGTAAACAAATCAGGGCTGCGTTCAGTACGTTTTTACGTTCTGGAACACACAGGTACAAACACATGCATAAGCACACTAACGCTAGCACGCGCACTCTACACACGTACATTGTAATATTGTTGCATGGTGGTATTATCCATTTGGTATTGTAGATATGTAGTGGTGTAATAATGTTATATGATGTACTGTTTTATATTTTGTTTTATGTGTGATGTAAGTGCCTTAATGTGTTTGGACCCCAGGAAGGATCCCTAATAAATACAAAGACAAATACATTTGAACAGAAACGGTGCTGTACTGAACGACCAGTTGAAAAACTGAGAGGGGTTGGGGATCGCTGTCAGCATGGCCACTGCCCATTAAAAACGTCACTCATTGCTTCAAGCCACACCCACCAAACGGGAACTAACGTACCTCAGAGTCTGTTCAAGAACGTTTTGGGGAAACGTGTAGTCCAGTACAAAGCGTTCCGCAACGTAGCAAACGTTCAAGCGAACTGAATGCACCTCATCTGTGTCGAGAAACCATCAGTCGTCATAACACCGGAACTGACCAATGGCAGGTATCAATGGGCGTTTACTGATTTCAGGGAACACCCACATCAAGAAACGCCCCGAATCACACCATATTCGAGAACCAGGTGAACGAGACATAAAAGTAACCAGGAAACACTGACTCGGCCTCCGGCAATAAATCAATTTATTTTACTGCTAGTGTGTGTTTCTGTGCTCTAAATTGTATTCCAGTCCAAAGACCAGGTTTGACAAGTGTTTGGGGAACGAGTCAAACTTTCTAGGATCCAATCCATGATGTGAAAAATTCATTCTAACCGCAATGGAATATGAGCGCTAAAAGGGAACTTTTACATTTTATTTTATCACAAAATGATTTAGTGCGATTACCCGGGAGTCTTCACAATGGAAATTCGAGAAAAGTGCTTTTTGTGTTGTCAGACTGTTTTCCCGTGTTT